GGATTTATCCCATTGTATGGGAAGTAGTATGTATGGAGAATAAGGAAAATTGGAAGTGGTTTTTGGATCTACTCATTGATGAATTGGGACCAAGGTTCTAAAAAGCTCGCCATGGCGCGGCATGGCTCCAAGGCTTGTGTCTGCCGCTAAGCTTTACAAAAACGTCGCCTTAACTCATATATGTGTATAAAATAGAATAATAGTTGAAAATACATATAAAAATATTAACTATATACAAAATTTCCGCCGTAAGTCACGCCTTACATACGACATGGCTCGCCAAGGCTCGGAAAAGCTTGGAGCTTGACATTGCCGCCAAATCATGCCTTATGTTATTTAGAACCTTGATTGGGACTTAACTTAGGCTATGGATACAATTTTATATTGGACCAGCACAAGGTAATTTACTTGTTTATAATTAATTTCCCTTTCTAGTTGCATCCTTATTAACTATAATTTTCATTTGTTAACAGGGTTTGATTGAGGCTGTAAAAGAACTCCTTCCATATGTAAAGCATAGTAGTGTGTCAAGCATATTAGCCAAAACTTAAGGAAAAAGTATAGTGGTGACCAATATGAAAGAATATTCTGGAAGGCATGTAAAGCAACTATAGAGGTAGATTTTAAGGCTGCCATGAAAGAACTTGAATTGCTAGACCCAAACGCTAATTAGTATCTGATGGAAAAAGACCCCAAGACATGGTCAAGAGCCTACTTCGAACCAAGAAGATGTTCTAATGCTGTAGAGAATGGAATGTCAATTTTTTTTTTTTAATGTTGTGATAGTTGATTCTAGGAAGAAACCAATTATCACTATGTTGGAGGAGTTGAGGATGTATATCATGTAGAGGGTGTTCAACATGAAATACAAGGGTCAAGGACGGGGCAATCGAAGTTGTCCAACAATTATACAATTAGCGAATGAAGTTAAGAAATCCCAAAAACATTAACAAGTGATACCTAGTGGATTGAATCATTTTGACGTAAAAGGAACTAAAGATGCTTATGAGGTAGATCTTGAAGGAGAACTTGCTCTTACAGGCTATGCCAGCTTAATGGAATGGGTTGTGTCCATTCTATTGCATCTATAAGTTATATGAATATGGATGTAGAGTCATATATGGACAAGAGCTGTAGTAGCATCACTTATATGAAGGCATACAAGTTTAGGTTAACACCTATGAATGGAAATAACTTGTGGCATGCAAGCGAGTACATCCCACCTTTACCTCCTATTCGTAGAACTATTCCTGGGAGACCTGCAACTAAAAGGAAAACGGATTCAACCAAGACCTGTTCAAGTAACAAATAAAAGAAGAGTAACCAAACACAAGACAATTATGTACATCAGGTGAGGGTATCCAAGGCTAGAAAGAAACAAAAATGTAGTCTTTGTAAGCTTAAAGAAACATCAAAAGAGTTTGTACCCTTGCAAAACATGTAAATTAGTATTTAGATGGTTAAGTATTTAATTTTTTTATTTCCTAATATTGTTTCATATGGGTCAATCAGGGTACAGAAGCAGTAAATGAGGGTGGAGACAATGATGTAATGAATGAGGGTGGAGAAGCAGTCGATAAGAGTGGAGACAATGTCAATGTTAGTGAGGTGCATGTGAAACAAGATTGTGATGAGGTGGAACTCACTCCTTTACTAATTGATGCATCAGGAATTGGAGAACCTAGTGAGGTGCATGTGCAACAACAGGAGGCTGTGGAAAGACCAATTTCAACCCTTTTGAAGAAAATCAAAAGGAATAAATCCGAAAGGATTATCAAGTTGAAGCTGGGCAAGATATTTGGTGATGAAGATGCACCTGGGAATTCAATATATAAAGCTCTTAGTATATATTAAGTGAAAATGTTGGTTTATGTGAAATGAACTTGGTATGAAGTATGAAATTATGTTTTTTTGGTGTACCTTAAATTGGATGTGATGTGAAGGGAACTTGATGTGAACTATGGTTATTTTTATGAAACTATGTTGGTTTATGTGATGTGGAATGTGTATTAAGTAAGTTGGTTGTTATTTTGAGTTATTTGTTGTGTTATTTGTAAGTTGCATGCATGTCAAGGACTTGTGTGGTTAAACCGCATGGCAAGGACATATATGTCTATATATGTCCTATTTTAATTTGACACAGATTATGTCCTTATATACCAAGTGTGGTCCCTATGTCCTTTTTACACAAAAGGACCCCTACACAAAAATAGATTTAATTTTAAATGGACCAACTGTGGTCCATATGGCCGCCAATGTCGTTCCCACAATTCAGTTTTAAAAGGAGCACATGCCTTTCATTAAGTACAGAATGGTATATAACTAAAAACTTTGATCTTTCTTACCATTCATTGAATTTACAAAAGTTCATACAACATTACCCATCTGCTGCCATGTCACACCCCAAAAACCGAAGGCGGAAACATTTTCGGGGCGGACTGCACGTTGAGTATCAAATCCAATGCACATAGTAATCAGAGTAAACAACCATTACATTACATATAGAAATTTACATTTGTTCAAAAGTAAAGTTGTACAGTGTTATACATAAGTATATATAGACAAAAGCAAGACGTGTCTTCGATGCACTCCGTCTTCGACAAAAGGATCATTGGGTACCTGTCTAATGCGGACCTGAGAATACAAGCAGTTTGAAAATCAGGATAAAGCTGGTGAGTTCATAAGCGGTTTTGTTTTGTGAAAATGTAAGAGTTTCCTTTTGCTTTCTGAAAATGTTACGACCCTAGAAAATCCCATATTTTCTTAAAAGTCATGTTTGGTTAACTGTTAGGTTACACGGTTCTGGTTATGTTCGACTGTGATCCCAGGAAAATCCATATTTTCCTAATGTGAAAGATATATACTGAAAACCTGGTTATCCTTGTAAAGTTTATGTTAGTTCATCTATCCAAATGTAATGTAAAAGATGTACACTTAAAATGTATTAGTTTTAACACGTTTATAAAAACTAATAAATATCAAGTAAACTAGTTACCAAACCCATTATTACTAAAAAGTAAATCTCTGTTATCCAAATTACGAGTTCCATAACCATACAATAGACTAGATATGACAATACATAGTCCACATCCTTATGACTTTCATCACCCTTGAACCTTTCGGCTCGGCTGTAGCTAGCAGCCAGGTGTGGGGTAGTCAATCCCGTATAGATCTATACACTCAAGTCATGCTCCCTATCTAAGAGATTCGGGTTACGGGGGCAATCCTCCACTCGCGTATCTCTGTGGAGTGTTCTCCGAGGACGTGTCTCCAATTTATAGGAATAACAAATTTACTAGTAATAATACTGAAAGATCAAATGACTATCATCCACTCGCGTATCTCTGTGGAGTGTTACCGAGGACAAAACAATATTCTAAGTTTCAAATGTTATGCTTTTAACTGATATAATGTGGGAAAACATTTGTGAAAATATAAATACAACAGTTTATACTGTTTTTCACAAATAATATGATAAGGTATTATGTAGGTTCAAATGGAAGCTTGTTATGACTGTCAGTGTTAAAAGCATATGTACTATGAAACACAACACATATAAAACAAGTTTTGAGTACAAGTATTACTTTTACTTTGCTTGTATTCCCCTTGAAAACAGTGAAAAACATTGAAAAAGGGTAGGGGTATGAACTCACCAGACTAGTAAATGTGACGATTTCGATGCTAAGCGATGGTTCGGGGCTTGATGACGCGCGAGGTTCCTATGTAATATGAAATAATATCCAAAGGTATCTAATTAGACTTTAAAATACTAATTAGATATGATAGTACACTCCAATGAGCGAAAACACTTCAAATCAAGTGTTTGGAGTGACCCGAGTGACATCTACGGATGTATATGGCTTGGATAATAAGTTTGGACTTCAAGAGTAAACTCCGTAGGAAGTTTATGGCCCTAAACACCACACCCACATGAGTTCACAGTCGTGAACTCATTAGTGGTGTTTTTGGATGCTAAATGGCCTTGAAACACTTGGGGTTTAAATCTAGGTTTGGATTTAAGGCATTGGAAAGCATTTTGAACATTTGAAGGACCATTATAGGAGTTTACGGCCCTAAACTAGGAGTTTACAGCTGTAAGCTCCTATACCCCACTTATATTGATGATTTGGTGGCTTTAGAACAATCACATGTGATTCAAACAAATTTTACAAGCCTTAGAATGAAGTTTGGGCATCATTTAACTTATGTAAATGACTTTACGGCCCATGAACCCTTTATAGGGGGGTTTACGGTCGTGAATACTCCAAGGAGTTGTTGTCATCAAGTTAAAGGCCCCTAAATCGATTGTGGTTGATTCTAGAATTTATTCCAAGGCCATTGGTGTGTTTAAGTGGCTTTTAAACACTCAAATGTGAGTTTACTCTCCATGAATATGAGTTTAATGCCCAAGCATGTTCTTGGGTAGTAAACTCATGTTTACTCCTCAAAAATGATGTTCAAGGTGTTCTAAGTCCGAATTGGTAAGCCATTTAGTCATATCTAAGTCCCAAAGTTGGTTTGGAAGGGTTTAAAGGCTCAAAAACCCCTTAAATGTGTGTTTACGGCCCAAGCATGTTCCAGGGCCGTAAACACATGAAAATGGTCCTAAATGATTGTTTGAACTCGGATTTGAAGGCTAATGGTGCTATACTATGAGTTAGGGAAGTTACCTTGATGAATTTGAGCCTTAAATTGATGTTGTTGGACTTGAAACTTGGATTGGAGGAGAGAGGTTAGTGAGAGTAGTGAGAGAGAGAAAAAGCTTCAAATGGAAGCTTAAACCTCTTTAAATAGGTTCTAAGTTTTGGACACGGTGGAATTCTACCCGATACCGGCGTTATATGATGCTTTTGGTCGCACCCGATTAAGCTACCGTAACCCGATATGGTCGATTCTAAAATGTATCCGATTACTAATATAAAGTGTTAATGTGAGTTCTAAACATGTTTAGACACTCATTAAGTCATAATAGAAGTCCCACAATTATGACTTAATTTATTGACGTAACGGAAACGAAATAAAAAACGACGAATATATTAACGAAAAGGGTTACAAATAATGGTACGAACTTCGGGTTGTCACATGCCATGCCAATACAACTGTTCCCAAACTTCCAACAACTATATCTACCATACATTCCAAATAATAAACTATATCAAACTAGCATTCTTCCAAAAACCTGACCATATTTAACAACTGGGATCTAACCCTGAACTAATTCATCCAAAAACAAATCAACTTTCTACTTTCTTGGTCATCTACCCATACATTATCCAAAAAACCGGTTGGAATTTTTACCATTAACCATAAATACCTTGTTTGATCAGGAACAATTCAAGGACACTTCAACCACATCCTAATGACTAAAATGAACAAAACGAAGATTACACACTTAGCAATTTCAAGTTAAGTCTTCATCACAATGTTTTTCTTCATCAACTCCATCAACTGTCTCTCAAACACTTTTTTCTCTGCTTCCATGTCTTGCTGCATCTGTATCACTTTCTTTTAAGCCTTTGAAACTTCACTGAAGTCTTCCTTTTTTCCCACCTCAAACCTCAACTTAAGAGGTTGCTGTTTGTAGTACACTTCCTCCATTACATCATCTTTCCACATAAAAACTTACATTTTGGACCTTCAGAAAAAACTTACAAAATGTGTACATTTCCAACTCAAGATACCAAATAGGGTGTAAGTAAACAGAAGGAATACTCACCAAGGATTTTTTTATGTTCCAAAACCTTCGAGCTATGTTGTCATCAATTTAAGCAGTCCTTCCGATGCTTATTCTGTCTTTGCAGTCACAAGGCGGACATGCTTCATCATCATGATGGTTTCTAACACGCAGGAGGTTGATCGATCGACCGGAGGATGCATACATTATTCTGGTTATATCTATTGAGTAGAGGATATCAGGGTGACCTAATTTGGGGTAAGAATGTATCCTCTTTGTTTAGAATGAGGGTTCCATTTAAGGAAGGTTTCCACCTTATACAATGACATGGTCAAATGGTAGTCCACAGAATCCAATACACATCACCAATGACCCGTAAACTAGATACATTTTCTCTCACTCCCTTAATTAGCCGGTATTTACTAACATTAAGGACTAATTTAGCACAAAAAAACATGAGTGACTAAATGTGAAAATTTCCCAAAACATTGTTGTGCTACAATGCCAAAAACCCTAGTATTGGTGTTGCCTAAAGGTGGGGACAATTTTCTATCCATAGTGATACTCTATGGGTCAATCCGTGAGGTGTTTTAACACAAAAGTGGAAAATGATTGTTTATGTATTGAGATTAATGAAGGTGATAGAGAAAGTGTATCTAGTTTGTATTTTAGAACTAGTTACTATAGTTTTTGTGTTGAAAAGAAATGTAAATGTTATTTCATAACCGATGAATGGATGGAATTGTTGAAATATTTTGGTTATGGGAGTTATAGCCTCTCATAACGTGAATAATTTAGCTAACAGATTATGTTGAAAGGACAAATTCAAATGCTTGGTGTTGATGTTTATTATGTCCAATGGAGGCATTCACTACTAGAATATATGCCTTTGATGACACGCAAACCACGACATGTTGTGATTTATGTTACACAAAAGAGAATGACCTTAAAATAGTGTCATATCACGAAAACAAATTTAGGATTTAGGTCATGCATTATTGTGTGCCCTTAAATTCATGTCTCAAGAAAAAAAAATCAAAAACACAAAGGTCACTTTATCTTAAACGCACGTCCTCTAGATCTGTTTGCTTCATAATTTTAATGAAACGTGTGTCTCTTGTTAACGGGGAAAATGAAATCCCCAAAATTTTGAAAACCCGCCTTGTTCTTTTCTACTTTC